GGAGCCTGTTGCTCTCCCATCCTTCCCGAACCCAAGCATGACTTCCCACCTTAGAGACAAGACTTGGAGACTCATTAAATTGCCTGATGTGGACAACCAGCTGTGGACAACAGCTGTTCACTGCTGTAGCCCCAGCACTTACAACAGAGCCTCTGGCTCATGCATGCTTATTGCATGAGAATATCAATGAAACGCGGATGCAGAATTCTTGCTGTGAAAGAGCTTTAAGTGACAAGTGAACATGCTGTTCCACCCTCCAGGCTTGGCTCAGTCCACACGTGAATCCTCATACCCTACCTTTCTCTTTCTCATGCTCTCCCCACACTTCTCCCACCGACAGGGGATCTCTACTCCATGGGCCTCTTCTCAAGCCTGGAGACCCCACTGCATCTCTTCCTTGTTTTGCCAGTGGTCCCTCCAGAGGGAACTCGATGTTCCCAGACTTGGGTAATTCTCTGTGATTTGGCCCCCAGCGATGGTGCTCTCCCCTCCTCCGATCCCAGCGGTGAATCTGGAAACAGTTTGCTCAGTTGCGTCACCTCTGGCGCTTGTTTCCAGGCAGAGTAGGGAAGGGTTGACCTTGAGGCCTCTTTGGGGGGTGGCGGTGGCAAGCCCTTTTAACCTTTGGAGCACTCTGTGCTTCTTGGCCGAGAGAATTCTTCGAAACTGCAGACCATGGAGAACTACTCAGAACTTCCTGCAACAGAGGAGCCGGGTTCAGCCCCTGCCCTGCGTGGAAGGCAGACCCTGTATTACTCACTAAGGCACAGGGCAGGGGAGGCTTAACTGTGCTGTGCTACCCCAGCTACTCTTCCTCCGGGAAAGTGCTGTCTTGTAGCAAAAAAGCTAAAAGACAGGACTCCTGAGCCTGGGATCCCAAAAAGGTCAGTAAGAGAGAGAGAGGTTAGATCTTTACAAGAGGAGCTGGACTTCGTTTTGGATACCACCATGCATGAAATCTTTCCAAGAAGGACAAGGAATAAAATGCAAGGGTTGACCAAATGACAGGGCCTTTGAGGAAGCTACAAAAAAACTGATGTGTCGAGCCTGGAAAAGAAAAAAAAAAGATGCTTTTTTGAGAGTACGAATAGTTTAATGTGCAGCAGAATGGCCTGTCCTACTACATCTGCTCTTGAAAGTGACTTGTAAAAAGAAGTCCTGAAATAAGTGACTGAGGTCTTGTGTTTAAAATAGAATGGGTGGAGACCTATGTATGCAGGGTGACTTCAAGCTGGTGGCTTTCCAGGATTACTCTAACCCTTACTACTTATAGGGTTCTGTGATTCAGGGTAGAAGTTAGTAGTGAGACTTTGGTTGCTAGACACTTTTGCTTGTGGTCTATGGGGTCTAGAAGCAAACAGACGGTGCATGCAATTTGAAGAGAGTTTAATAAAGGGACCATATGCAAGTCGATTCTGGCATAAAGTAATTTATTTGTGGTTCCGAGTGTTGACTGGGAATAGCTGAGTGGATCTCGCTTGGGATATTTCTCATGCAGTGACAGTCATCTTGGTCTGGTGTCATCTGAAGGTTCAGATGGGCCAGACATCCAAAGCAGCTCCCTCACTTACCTGTGTGACACCTTAGTGCTTTTCTCTGTGTCCTCTCTCTCCAGCAGAGTAAACTGGGTCTCTTGCATGGGGGCTCAGGGGCCCAAGAGCAAGAAGCCAACCTGCCTATGTCCAGAACTGTCGCAGCACCACCACCCCAACTTCCACTGGCCAAAAGCAGTCACAGGGAGGTTCTACCCAGAGTCAAGAGAGTAGAGAAAGATACTCTACCTCCCAGTGGAGTCCTGGCAAGTTTGCACTGCTGAAGAACACATGGGATGGATGTATTGTTGCAGCTATATTTAGAGACTAAAGTCTGCCCAAAAAAGGTGTGAGCAGGAATTAGAGTAACCAACAGGGGAGTTGGCCCCAGCAAGGCCTCAAGGAACAAGAAGGGGAGGAAGTGATTCCAAGAACCCGGGGAGGGCAGCTGTATGGAGATGGTCTCATGATAGCAGCCATGGCCTTCAGAAGGTGCAACGTGACAGGAAGTGAGCCAGAGGTAAAGCATTAATCACTCAGTTGAAAAGAAAGAGACAACCCAAGTGCCCATCAATTCATGAATGGATTAATAAAATGTGGTATATGTATACCATGGAATACTACCCAGCTTTAAGAAACAACGGTGATATAGCACCTCTTGTATATTCCTGGATACAGCTGGAACCCATTCTACTAAGTGAAGTATCTCAAGAAGGGAAAAACAAGCACCACCAGCAAATTGGTATTAACGGATCAACACCTAAGTGGACATATAGGAGTAACATTTATTGGGTGTCGGGAGGGTGGGAGGGGGGAGGAAGGAATGGGTATATACAACCACAACGAGTAAGATGTGCAACATTTGGGGGATGGACATGCTTGAAGCTCTTACTTGAGTGGGGAGGGGGGCATGGGCAATATAAGTAACCTTAATACGCTAAAATTAAAAAAATAAAAAAAAAATAAAAAAAAAGAAATTAGCTGGACAACTAAAAAAAAAAAAAAAAAAAAAAAAGAAATTAGCTGGACAACTAAAAAAAAAAAAGAAAAAGAAAAGAAAGAGAGAAGGGAGCCGGAGGATTAATCATCCAACTTTGCACACATCCATCCCCTTCAAATCTCCTTATGGGGGTTCAGGCAGGTCAGCCCCGAGGAGCAAGGAGGAGGGTGGAGAAGGGCAAAGAATGGGCCAAACGAGGCAAGCACGAGACATCCAGCACAGCAGCAGATGACGACATGTCTAGGATATGTTACAAGTGGGCAAGCACAAGGTTCAGCGCCCAAATTGCTCCATATTGGACTAGAAGACAAATTGCCTAATTTTGAGCAGCTTGAAGGATTCCTAAATGCCCCAGTGTATAGGAAAACAGTTTAGTTCAAGCCTTGTCCTTTGGCAAGAAGATGCTGCTATAGCTACTGATCACTTTATCCACAAGCACAATCTGGCCAGTCCCCTTCCCTGCCACCCCTCTAGCTTCAGTGGCCACTACTCCCCTCTTACTCGTAGCGTACCCCCACTTTCTCGCAAGCCCCTAGCCTGTCACTATTTTCACAGCTTGCAATCTCTCTCCCTCCTCTTTTCTGGCCAAATCCTCATCTTTCCAACTCAAATGAATGCTACTTTTTCAGTGTTGATCTCCTTAACCCCTGTCCTCACCCAAGCTCTCTTCTCCCATGGCACTTGTTCTAATAGCAATTTGTATTTATTTGTATAGCGATTTGCTTCATGTCTGTCTCTGTCACTGGACTCTAAGTTCCGTGGCAGCAGAGTTTGTATCTGTCCCCTTGACCCTGTGTCTGTAGGACACACAGCAATGCTAAACACACCTGTGAGTCAATTACTGCCTGCATGTGGTGGAAAACCCAGCCATGGTTTCTATAAACATGGTCTTTCGGTGTTTTTGTGTGTTTGTTTTTAGCTCTAGCCACTGTTTGGTTATATTTTGTGTAGTAAGACAAGTTGTGGCACCAGGAACCGAGTCATTAAGTTAACACTGAACAGCTCTCAAAACACCAGGGAACAAACCAAATGTCCCTCTGCTGGTGAATGGATAAACAAAATGTGGTTTATCCAGTGCGAATAATGGAAACTATTCAGCCATAAAAAGGAACAAAGTACTGACACATGCCACGACATGGGTGAACCTTGAGGATATCATGCTAAGTGAAAGAAGTCAGGCACACAAGACCACATATTGTATGATTCCGTTTTTTAATGAAGTGTCCAGAATAGACAAATATGTAGAGACAAAAAGATTAGTGGTCACCAGGGGCTGGGGGGGAGGGAGGAATGGGAATAATTCCTAATGGGCACAGGGTACAGGGTTTCCTTTTGGGGTGATAACTACCTAATTCTGAAGTTAGGTAGTGGTGATGATTGGGCTACTTGTGAATATACTAAAATTCAGAGGATTGTACTCTTGAAAAGGATGAATTTTATGGTATGTGAATTATATCTCGATTTTAAAAACCACAATCAACTAATGTATTATTACAAAAATAATGGAGAATTGTGGTCAAGAGGTAGGATGATGGGTTGCAGCATGGTTTGACTGTTAGAATAGCAAGAAAACAGAACCATCTCCTAAGAATCTAGGTGCATTTGCTTAGTGTCTTCATTCTTGATGAATGCTAAGAACTGAAGTTCTAGCCATTCACAAATGAAGGAACACCAAGTTCCAACTACATAAAAATGACTGAGTTAATGAGCATGGTTTAAATGGTTGTGCAAAGCACAAAACAAACAGGATGGTGCTATTTGCTAAGCTCCCCGAGAGAGGCAGCCAGCAAGTACCTCGATCAGCAAACACATGGAGATTCTATTTCTTTTTTTAACCTTTAGAGCTCTGATGTGCAGTGAATGGCCTTAACTTTAAAAGTTCAACTGGTATTTCCAAAATCTGTGACCCCTCTGACCATGAGAAAAATAGCAGAAAAATCGAACTTGAGGAACATTCTACAATAAAATTGCCAACGTCATGACAAACGAGGAAAGTCTGAGAAACTGTAACAGCCCAGAAGAGACTAAGGAGACAGGACCCCTAAATATAATGTGATATCGTGGATGTGATCCTGGAACAGAAAAAGGCTAAAAAACTCGTGAAATGTGAATAAAGTGTGGTGTTTAGTTAATATTTACAGGCCAGTGTTTGTTTCCTAGTTGTGACTAAGAATGTACCATGGTAATATATGTTGAAAATGGGAGAAACGGGATGAAGGGTATGTGGGAGCTCTATACTATCTTTGCAACTTTTCTGTAAATCTGAAACTCTTTTAAATAAAAAGTTGAATTAAAAAATGAAAGCTCAACCAGGCTTACTTCTCTGTTCTGACAGCCTTCTAGCTCAGAGGGTTTGTGTGTGTGTGTGTGTGTGTGTGTGTGTGTGAGAGAGAGAGAGAGAGAGAGAGAGAGAAAGACAATGAGAAAGATAATTATGATGAGATAACTGAGATAACAAATATGGGATCAAACCACAAAGCTCTCTATAAATGTAAAGCATTAGAACATACCAAAGTCCAGCCTAGCTTCCTAATCCCTCCTAAATTTCTCACCCCTCCATCTATAAATACTATAAATATGCAAGGACTTTGGTTTCCATTTAATTGCCACTTCTTCTACCATACTTTCCCCTCTGCTCTCTGTGCTATTCATTGCCAAGTGGCCAACAAGTTTTGAGCATGGCTTGTAGAAAGTGCTATGCCAGCCATACAGGGAGACGTTGAGAGTGTCTCCTATTGTGCACTTTTTCAGGGAGTTCACAGTCCACTTGGGAAGTTAGAATATATCCATTCCTCTGTCCCCAATAGATGAGTAATAACTGATTATGATTCAGCATGGAAAGATATACAATAACTAAGAAAATGAGCAATGGAAGGCGAGTGAATGGTCCATGCTTAATCCACATAGTTAATTCATTATTTTCTTATGGTTTTCCCTAGCTGGCTCTCTCTTCATGTTTATATATATATATTCTTTAGGGAAGAAAGGACCGTGCTTCCTGACTCATTTTGTCCTCTAAAGAGAGGAAGCCTTGCGTAGTGAGACCTAGAGCCAGACTGAGATGCTTGAACGCCGACTCTCCGCTGATGACCCGTGTGACGTAGTACTCATCTGGGAAGTGGGGATGAGACAGGCTCTGCTTTTAGGATCGACGTGAAGATTATGGGACTCGATTCAGGTACAGGGTGTCCAATCATGCTATGGTCATGCCACTGCCCTCTGGCTTGGCCAACAGAGACCCTGTCTCAAAGTAAATAAATAAATAAAATGGTTCAGATGATAAGTTTAATGTTAATGCATTTTTTTCCAGTTCTAAAAATTTTAAAAATCCTTTTTTTTTTTTTTTTTTTGAGACAGAGTCTCGCTTTGTTGCCCAGGCTAGAGTGAGTGTCATGGAGTTAGCCTAGCTCACAGCAACCTCAAACTCCTGGGCTCAAGCAATCCTGCTGCCTCAGCCTCCCGAGTAGCTGGGACTACAGGCAGCACCATCATGCACGGCTAATTTTTTCTATATATATGAGTTGGCCAATTAATTTCTTTCTGTTTATAGCAGAGACGGGGGTCTCGCTCTTGCTCAGGCTGCTTTCGAACCCCTGATCTCTGAACAATCCACCCGCCTCGGCCTCCCAGAGTGCTAGGATTATAGGCGTGAGCCACCGCGCCTGGCCTAAAAATCCTTTTTAAAACGGCAAATGATAGCTCAATACTTGAAAGAAAGTTAATGAAAGTTGTTGTGTGGTTTCTGAACGAAACGTCTTAACCGTGGCTGGTTGGTGTAGCCTTTTGTGCGCGATTCTACAGTTTATCGGGCTCTGACTGCCTGGTGAAATTCACCTGGTGTCAGTACAGTTTCCTAAGTAGAGTCGGGTTCTCTCATTTGTCCTCTGTCTGGTTTCTCTTGAAGGAAAACATTAGCTATAGAATAAGGGTGTTATTGTAACTTGTTTGCTTTGTCTGTTTTTCGTTCTGATTTCGGTTCGGTTGTCGCCTGCTGATGCAGCGATGAGGGTGTGTCTACGCCGACGACCTTCTGACACAGCAGCCCTTGCCCCCTTCACACACCCCCTCGGCTCTGCAGATCCTGCGTCAGTGGCAGTATTTGCAGGACTACGGGCCAAAATCCTGGGCTGCTTGCTGTTCTTTGACCCGCAAACCTGCGTCTGAGCCAGGCGGGTTGGGACAGAGGAGACTGCCCCAGTGAAGTCACAGCAGCTGTTTTGTTGCCTTGCAGTTGCTTCCCAGGCTGAAGTCTCAGCTAAGAAAAAGTTGAATCCCCCCTGTAGAGAGAGAGACAGGTGAGGGACACGAAGAGACAATTCACAAAATGCAAAGAGCCAATAAGCGCAAAAAATGACCACCCTCCCTAATATAGAAGGGACAGAAATAACATTACCAGTTTAATACAATTTTCCCTTATCAATCAATTTGGCAAAGATTTTTTTTTAGAAAATAATTCCCAGGGTTTGCAAACAATTACTGATAGAATGTAATTGGTCTTCCTTAAAGCAACCTGGCGGTATGTCTGAAGACCTGTAAAAATGTTCATTCTGGAATAGAATATTCAAGAATGTTCTAGAATAGAGTATGCCATAAACAAATTCAGGGAGATACAAGAATTTAGTGCAAGGTGAAAGTAACATTTCAAATTAGTAAGAAGAGAGACTTCCATTTCTGACAATATTGAGGACAGGATAAGCTGGAAAATCTTCAGTTACAAAAATGTCTAGGAATATTGGATAAAATACAACAAAATGCCTTTACTCCAACGATAAAAAAGGAACACTCCAGGGGCCAAACAATGGAGAAGAATTGAAAATAGAGACATAGATGGACTGACGCTGCTCTGGCTTAGGAGGGATTAACAATTGAATGATCTAAAGGTCTTGTTTTAATGTCCAGATGGAGACAGGACACCATTTTTACAGGCTGTAGGAGGGGGAGTTGGACCCGAGTGTCATGGATAGCTGGAACCCTTAAAAATCTAGACCTTGAGTGACAGCAATCAGTCATAAAACCTTCTGACTTTGAGACAATCCCATCCTTGCTTGACCTAACTCATTTAAAGGTCAATATCAGGAACTGTCTTAACCCCCCACGCCCGACAGAGATTCTCTGATTGGCCAAACTTGAATCAGGTTCCTAAACCCTCCTTTAGGCCCTTATGTGCACTTCCTTATAAAATCCAGTTTTTTTAAAAAATCAAGAAATGTATTTACTAAATAAAATCCAGTTTTAGCAAAGAACCCTGCTAAGTCATTTTAGCAAGAACCTTCCACTCTTGACATCTGAACAGGTTCCTCATCCTCTACCATCCCCTAAATGGTCTGACCTTCTTTAGCTAGGTCTTCAGGTGAGGTCAGGTCACCAGAATCCCCCTGACTCTGGATGTTTCTTCTCAGTCATTTTCCATCCACTGATCTGCACCCTGCTCCATGGCTAGAAATCCCCACTTTCCCATGCTGGATTCGGAGTTGAGCCCAGTCTCTCTCCCTCACTGCAAAATCCCACTGTAGTGGTCCCTCTACCTATTGCAGTGGTCCTGAATAAAGTCTGACTCACTATGATTTGACATATAGCATTGGATAATTTTTCTTTAACACCTCTAAGTCCCTGTCCACCTGGAGAACCCCTGCAGGAACAGTTAGTTGGTTCCCGTGTCATGGCTCAAGCAGGATATCTTGCCCTGACAGGTAGTCTGAACTCCAAGAGGTTATCAGAATAAGACGTACTCGTATGGTCTCTTCTTTCTATAGTCTATCAATGATCAATTTGATAGATCTGTCAGTATTTGGAATGTGATTCCACTTCTAGGAAACTGTCCCTCAAATAACAGGGCATCTATGAAACTTCCCAATCAATCATAAATGTACAAGGACATTCAATTCAATATGCTTTATCTGTAATAGAAAAACAACTGGAAGCTGCCCCATTTCCTGTGAGAGTAGAATAGTTAAATATTCTGTAGCCATTAAAAAGAATGAAGTTTATCTCTGTGTATGAAAATAGAAAAACTGTCCAAACAATATTATTATTTTTAACCACAAGCTATAGAACAGCCCTGTTCAATAGAAATCGAATGTAAACCACATCATAATTTCAAATTTCCTAGTAGAAATATTTTAAAATATAAAAAGAAATAGATGAAATTACTTTTATAATGTATTAATATTTTAACTCGATATATCTAAAATATTCTTTAAACATGTAATCATATAAAGTTAGCATGAGATATTTTACATTCTTTTTTTAATATACTAAGTCTTTGAAATCTGATGTGTATTTTACAACACACTTCCATTCAGACTAGCCACATTTCAAGTACTCAAAAGCCATTTGTGACTAGTAGCTACAATATTAGATAGTGCAACTATAGAAAGAATGTGTAGTATTTATTTTTTACACAAATCCTGAGCCAGCTATATAAGTATTGTATAAACATAGAAAACATTTGGAAGGGTACTCAAGAAATGACTAGAGGTAGTTATTTCCATGGAATGGTGAGTGTGGGGAGGGAAGGTGATCAGGATTTGGTTTATGAACCTCTCTATTTGAATTTATTATATAGGAATATATCATACTTTACTAAAAAAATAAAAGAAAGAACGTTTCTTCTTTTCAATACAGCCAGTCAATGTATGGTAATTATTTTAAGGACATAACAAAATATGTGAACCAACATTTACGACAAGGATGCCCTTCCTTAGCAGCACTACTTATACAGTAGTTCCCCCTTAGTCACGGTTTCCTTTTCTCAGGTTTTAGTCATGTGTGGTCAACCATGGTCTGAAAATATTAAACAGAAAATTCCAGAAGTAAATAATTGCCAAGTTTTAAATTGTGTGCCATTCTGAGCAGCTTGAGAAAATCTTGTGTCCTTCTGCTCCATATCCACCTAGGACATGAGTCATCCTTTGTCTCTAGCACATCCATGCTGTGGACGTTACCTGCCATTACTGTATAGGAATAAACGCAATTATAGGGTTCAGTACTGTCCATGATTTCAGGCAGCCACTGGGGGTCTTGGACGTACCCCTTGAGGGTAAGCAGGGGCAACTGTGTTCAACCCTACTGGAGACTTAAAATCACTGAAACTAGATGGAGAAGAAAGAACTTGTGTAACAACTCTTCGTCTTCCAATAAATAAACAGATAGGATCTAAGGCCTGGGGCTCACTGAGGCTTCTCTTAACCCTTGAATGGGTGGTTTTTTTCCATAGGTGCACAGAAATGTTGGGATTTCTGCTGTGGACTTTGTGCTTTGCTTAGTGAAGTGGTTTTATGTGAATCCTGTCTGACATTTTATTCTTCCAATAACTCCACAGCAGGTAAATGGAGAATTCACACACAGTGTCAGGACAAACCTGCACAGGTATCAGCTGCCTTGGAGACCCTGTACTTTTAAGATATTTGTTGAATAAAACTTAATTTACTTTAATTGACTAATTTGTTCTGGCTGGACTAAAACTTTGTGGACTAACAAGGAAAGGGGTGCAAAATGTAGGAAGTAAAAAAAAAAAAGTTGCCAAATAAGGTGGAGAGCACGATTCCATCTGTGTTTTGAAAATCTGTAAAATGATGTACCTATGTCTTATCTATTGTCTATTACCTATTCTTTTTTATTTTTAAAAAATTAATAAATAGATTTTATCAAATTTAACTTCTTTTCTTATACTTTTTTCTTTTATTTCTTTATCAAATCTGAAAGTAGCTTTGGGGTTGAATATTGTCTATTACCTATCTACCTCCATCCATCCATGTGAATGGATAGAAAGAACCAAGTTGTCACTGCCGCCTGCCCCTGGGAATGAGAATGGGGCATATAGGCAGTAGGATGCAATGAAGGACTCTCACTTTTTACTGTATATATCTCTGTACTGTTACCGTTTTAATAGGTTGTTTTGTCACACAAAAACATTTAGTACAAATTACCAGCTGTAATTGCCCCCGTCAATCCTTGCAAACATTGCACAAAGTGCCCAGAAAGAGTTAATAGAGACCTCCAGGTGTTGGAAGTGAGGACAAATTTCTGATTTGAGGGTGGTGGGTGGGGTTTAGGGCTGAGAAGCAGCAAGGAGCTGGGAGGGGAGGGGAGGGAAGGGGCCAGGGAAGGGCTGGCTGTTGCTCAGCTCTCTCACACCCAGCCAATAGCGCGAAAGTCCCAGGCCCAACGCCCATTTGTGGAGACTATTTCAGGAGTCAGCCTTTGCATCTGAGTTCATTGTCACTGTAACTTGTCGAAGAAGGACTAAGTGAGCTTCTAGGCTTGGCTGCTTGGAGGCCGCTGCTCCCTTACTTGGAAGGTAAAGATCTCAAGCCTCAGCTGATCTGGGGGTGGTGATTGGGTGGGATGTTTGCTTTTTGTCTTTTTGGTGTATTGACTTCTTTTCAGCACAGGGCCATAAGATGCTTATGGGATAGGGCTTTACTTTTACTAACGATAATATTAACATTAAATTTCTAACAAGGTGGACTGGTTCTTCCCAGTTCTCTGCAGAGGGCAAGACACAGAATGTTGAAGCATTAGGGAGACTCTTTCTTGGAGAGGGTCTGCATGGAAAGGAGGGAGCACCTATGCTTTGATTGCTTTAATGATTTTCACATTATTTCTCCTTGGTTTCACTTAGAGCTTGGTTAAGCTTTAACAGGGGTTGCCCATAGCAAATCCCACTTAGCATAGATAAGGATTCAACTGAAGCTCTCTGCTAACATCATAGAGTGGGTTCTTGATTTACTTTGCAACTCAGCAAAAAGTCTTAAAATTCCCCTCATTCATAGTAAAGCTACTTACAAGAGAAAGTAAGGGGAAAAAAAAGAAAGACAGGAAGAGTGTGGAAAGAGATACCCACCGAAGTCACCTTGATGTTTAGATCCAAATGCAGCATAAGGCTCTGTTCCCAACATCATGGAGACCTCCTTCTTTCCCCTGTAGGCTTCGCTAGTGATGGACCCTTCGTACGTGATTCAGATGAACCGCAATGGCGACCTTCCCTCAGTCCGGGATGTGCATGTCAACTTCAGCGGGAGAAGCTCCGTGCCGGGCAAAATGAAAGGCAGGAAGGCTAGATGGTGCGTGAGGCCATCAGACATGTCCAACAACACTTTTAATCCCATCCGGGCCATCGTAGACAGCATGAAGGTGAAGCCAAACCCAAACAAAACCATGATTTCTCTGTCAATTGGTGAGTTAGGGACACAAGACTGAAGGGCTGTCATTGTCCCCATCCCACTCCCATCCTAATGGGCTGGTTGGAGAAGATGGGAGTGGAGGGTGAGTCTAGCGCTGGACATGGGAGGGTAACCTCTTGGTGGTTCTTTTTGTTTTTTTCCTCCCATGAAAAGGGGATCCAACTGTGTTTGGAAACCTGCCTACAGACCCTGAAGTTACTCAGGCAATGAAAGATGCCCTGGACTCAGGGAAATATAATGGTTATGCCCCAGCCATCGGTAAGTTCCCCCTGAGACCCTATACCTGGTGGCTTCCAAATCTTTAGTGCTCTTATAATAG